CTCCTGCAGCTCCGCCACTTTGCCAATCACCATGAAGTGTCTCCTGGAGAACTGTGGTGTGGACCGGCAGATCGCTCGCTTTGTGCTGCCAGTGGGAGCTACCATCAACATGGATGGGACAGCTCTGTACGAGGCAGTGGCGGCCATCTTTATTGCTCAGGTCAATGAGTATGACTTGGACTTTGGCCAGTTGGTCACCATTAGGTAAGAATAAACTCTCAACTCACCATCCTCCCATGATTACTTCTTTGAAATGATTGTATTTTCCATCTCTAACGTCTTGGCTCTTGTCTCATCAGTATAACGGCAACAGCAGCCAGCATTGGGGCAGCTGGGATACCTCAGGCGGGTCTGGTTACCATGGTGATTGTCCTGACGTCTGTGGGGTTACCGCCTGCTGACATCTCACTGATTGTAGCCATCGATTGGGTTCTGTGAGTTCCACTAAAAATTCTCATACTGTATTGAGCATCACTGGGGGCTGTTGGGACAATGTGTAAATGATTTCCTTCCATCTCTTTCTCAGCGATCGTTTCCGGACGATGATCAATGTTCTTGGTGATGCCTTAGCTGCTGGGATCATGGCTCATTTATGTAAGAAGGACTTTGAGAGAGCAGCCACTGAGAAATCAGCTGCTGCCACCCCTCCTGCCAATAATGGAGGTGGCCCCAAACGGGTGAGCTAGACAATTTTCATTTGTTTAACTCAAAGTGAAAATGCATGTATGAGGATTAAAGCCCCTGAAAACCTGTCTTGAGATCTAAGTATATTTCTATAAGATTAAATATTAAAGGTCACATATTGTATAAAGTGAGATTTACATGTCTTTTTTGATTATAAAGCAGGTTTAGGTTCTATATTGATACTGTGTAAGTATCAAAGCGCTCAGTCCACAGAGAAATGCACACAGCCTGTACTCAGAGACTGAGCCTTAAAACGAGCCGTCAGGACTTCTGTAACTTTATGATGTCACAATAAAGCAGTCACTCAGCCCCGCCCCAAGCCCCGGCAACCCAGACCCACCATTCAACCCTGCAGTCAAGAAGAGAGAGGCTCAGAGCCTCTGTTCTGATTGGCTCACTGCCCTGTTCTTACTAGAGCTTCAGAGAGAGCCCTGAGAGAGGGGATGTAAAACTACGTAGAGATGGTTTTTGGTTCTTCAAACCACAAATATATCTTCGTATGGATATCAACACTTCAAATAAAACGTAGGAAAGTGTAAAATGTGGGACCTTTAAGCAACTATAAAAGATACATTTTGGAAAGACTGTACTTTGGGACAACAGAGCTTAGAGCTAAATGCTAACATCAGCATGCTAACATGCTTACAATGACAAAGCCTTTTGTGACCCACACACTCTCGGTTTATATTTTTACCGTTTTTACGTAATTCTCGAAAAACCCAACCTCTGAGAACTACTTTCACTAACTGTTCTGCTGTTTGCATCTTCCCTACAGAGAGACACAGTCATCTCCTTTGGTAATCAGAGTGTGGCGCTGTCTGATGCTCCTCTGATCGCACACCGCTGCGATTATGTGTTTGAGGTGGATGGAGACAACGTGCTGGAGAGGCCTGTGGCCTGCTACAACCTCTGCCAAGTCTGATACACAGACAGCAAAGGATACTGCCTTCTACAGCACATCGATTCACCTCTCAGGATCAAAGGGACCCTCATCAGACGGCCTAAAAATCCAGTTAGGTTTCCATCCTAAATGAGACCAAGTATATTGTGGTGTCAGGGTGAAGCGGCTTAAGTTGATTTTGCCTGTGCCATGCCGAAAACAAAAACAGACACTGGTTATTGCCCGAATGCACTTGCAGACATGATCACGTGTTGCAATAACATGCATTAGCTGGAGCTTGATGTTTATCAGTCAGTGGTGACAGACATTCATAGTAGGCCTGTCTTAATGAAGTTTGATTGCAGGTTTTGAGTTGCCTTAACCTGATCTCAGTTTTCACAATGATTCTGAGAATCTGAATGACTTGAAAGTAAACAGGGAATGGTAGACAAGGAGCAAATTAATTTTGTTGAGGTCAGTCTTTATCTATGTCAAACAAGGTATTTATGGATAGACATTAAAGCAACAATTACAAAAACTATCATAGGACAAAGAAACCACATTAAGATGATAACTTGTGTTTTTATACATATGCTTTTAATTTTGTGTTGTTTTTCTAATAAAAACCTGCTGCACCATAAAGTCCTGTCAATGAGTAGTTTTATTTTGAAAACAAATTCTGCAAATTGTTCTGTCTGAAGTATAACAGCCACTAAGAGTGCTGCAGAAAAATTATTCAGTGTCAATGGTACCGACATTTGCAGGTGAAAATATGCAGCCCTGTCACCACCATCTGGTCTTAGAAGGTAATAACTGGGCCTGTCCCATGTGATCAGTTGTAGGTCAGGTGATTGTACAAGGCAATTCATCCATCTTGATTTAATCACAACACAATCGTACATTGTAGCTGTTGTCTTCCAACACTTTACTTCTGTCTACTTGTTCCTGATGGGTAAAAAAAAGGTAATATAGTCATCTTACAACAATGCTATTGCACCATGTTTTTATTGAAATGATCCAATGTTAGAAGACATTTAATGGACTTCAACTTAGTGTCCGTTCAGAACCAAGTAAAACAAAAAAAAAAAATCAATAATCCATTAAAAACACTCCAATACGTAACAAGTATGACCGCATACATTGTCAAATAAATATTTGCGCCTCCTGATGTAAAATACACCATTTCCACTTATAAATTAAGGCAGAATGCAGTTTATTCTGACTGCCCCTAAAACAAATTCACTTGCATCTTTCATGCAAATCCAACTAGACTGCTGAGAAAACTAAGCAGTAACACAACGTAAGTAGAAAAAAGAAATTATCAAAAAAGATGACAGTCCAAGACTACAACAAATTTCTATCACCTGCTTTGAGCAAGTCACAAAGTATTGCACAAAGTTAAGGATTGTGACACAAAAATAACATGGAAATACTAAAATCAAAAAGCACTTAAGACCAAAAGCTGAAGCTTGTGATGGAAAAATTCCTTTCAGAGATTAAATAGATTAAATATGCATTTAATGAAGTGTCAGGTGAATTATTCTTGGGGGGAGCACGGGGGGTGATGGGGGTGGTTAAAAACGAATCCTAAAAAGTGTGAGCAGGTACTGTTCCCAAAAATCACTTGCTATTTTTATCACGGAGTAGTTCCTCTGTTCAATTTGTGGTCAGGTTAAACAAGAAACAATTACAGTACCAATGCTTATGCTCCACCTTTCAACCACCTTAGAGAACGAGACGGGCAAGACAATTCCTCACTAGCAAAAGACGACCTGTGATACGCCATTAATCTTTTCTAAACAGACGATATGAGAGTGTTTCACTGTAAACAAAGTCCTCACTAGTGAAAAGTAAAAACAAACGAGACAAAAAACATCAGAGCACTGGGTTTGGGTCTAAAAGCCTAAATCTTCATGTAAACTGTCTTTTCACCGTGTTATCAGATGCTTCCCTCCCCAAACAGCCAGGCATCAAAAAGCAGATAAGAATAAATAATCCTGACATTCAACTCACAACCGCTGAAAAGACAACTGTTTCTAAAGTGACCATGTATAGCTTCAATGCGTTGATCTCGTTACTCTTCAGTGGTTTATACTGATCTGGCTATCTCAGAAATGTTGCCTCGTGAAATGTCTGCAGGACAATCGCTTTCCTTCAAGTCTCTGTGTACAGTTTAAATAACCTCACCTCAACTAACATTGGTCCATATGTTCATCTTTCTAAAAGTTTAAGCCTGTTTAAAAGCCTCCAGCAGAAACAATGTGTAACGGCCTGTTTTTTCTTTCCTGCAAATGTACTGCTAGAAAAATAACAGAACAAAACTCCAAATCAAATCTAAAAAGGTAAATAAAAAAAGAAACAAACCAAACAAAACTTTCAGCAAAAAGAAATAAAATTTAATGGTTTATGTTCAAAGTGAAACAACCAAAACAAAAAGGAAGAAAAGAAAGTAAATCTAAACTGAAATCATTAACAAAGGCCATTAATTTCTCTCCAAACTTGAGATAAACACTCGTTAAAACAAGTTTGTAACTTACATTGTAACAAATAAAAATCTATTCTTCTAGAAAGAAAGAAAATCCAAACAAAAAGAAAACAAATTAACTCAAAATGAAAGAAAAAACAAAACAGAATGGCAAACTGAGCCTGAATGATGTTTCTCTCAGTCAGCATCAGATATAGCCTTAGTACCTCTTCAAAAAAAAAAAAAAAGAAAAAAGAGAAAAAAAAGTCCAAAAAGATGTGAATTTACCTTGCGAAAATCTGTTTAGAAAAACTCTTCTGGGGTTATAAGATCAAATCTCTCCCTGTCTTTGGTCCATCTTGATTCCCTACTCATTGACTGGGGATGATTTTCAACAGGACTCTCTTTAAATACAACTTAGAAAAAAAGACACTTTACACAGGGATAACAAAACAAAAACATTTCCCTCCAGAGCTCATCGTTTTTAAAACTGTTAACCTGGGCGGAGGGTGAGCAAAAGTCATAGATTAACATCGAAAAGACTGATATTCATAGTAACCTAAAACAGATTGGTTAAAAGTGCTTTGCTCTTAGATTGACTCTAGACAGTGAGTGGTATTGTAGGTCTGTGTGTCCACTGGATGATCATTTAAGGCATCTATTTCTACTTATGATGAGGATCCAGGACAAAGCACTGCTTTCCCAAAATGAAACAACAACTGGCTCCTGGCAAAATATTGTTCTTCACCTTCTTTAGACTTTGAATTATCCACTAAAATGTCAACACTTGGGAGAACAATTTGCAGGGCTTATTCTCCTTATACTCTTTCAGTGCACTGTTTGCCTGCCTCCTTTATCTAGTCCCCACAGTTATACATGCAACACATAACGGACAATATTTTAGCTTTTTAGATAATTTTCAAACGTTATCTTGGGGGTGTCTTGGGATTTTGCCCTCTACATCCTTGCCCTACAAATTAAAACTACTGAGTGTCCTCAAGCCCCAAGCATGAGTATAAAGATGGAAAGAAAAAAACAAAAACAAAAAAAAAAATCAGTCTAAACACTCTTTTAGACAAGTACAAAGGTGCAGAAGAGTGAACGTCTCATTGATCTCTGAATACACTAAAACCCAAACTGATGTGCCAGACTTTGCAATCTTTTGCTCTTTCAAATAAAAGCCTGGCGCAGGGCATCTCCCTCTCTCCTCTACACCTGATTGTCCAGCTCTCTCTATTTGTGGCCCTTGTTGGTCTTAAAGGACACTTGCAGTATCTTGTCTCCGAGCCGGTAGCCGTTCAGGCTGGCGATGGCCATGGCCGCTTCCTCGTAGTTCGTCATGGTAACGAAGCCGAAGCCCTTGCATTTGTTGGTGTTGAAGTCTCGGATCACCTTGACGTTGGTGACGGCACCAAAGGGGCCGAACATCTGCCACAGGATGCTCTCGTCGGCGTCCTGTCCCAGGTTGTAGATGAAGATGCACCAGCCTGAGGTGGAGTTCCCAGGGACACCGACACCTCCCATGCTGCCCATGTGATCAACACCCATGGGAGAAAACCTGGAATGGGAAGTTTTTTACTGAGCCAGGAACACGTTATATACATATTCAGACGCAGTCAAAGACAAGTATGTCTATATACATTTAAAAACTGTTCCAATAATTTGTTTAGCAAACTTTTCCTTTCATGTTCACTATGCCCCTCACCTAAACCGCTGCGCCTGGTGATGTAACGGCCCTCCGAACCGCCGTGATTGGTTGTGGTACAGCTGAGAAATGAGCTGCGTGTTCTTCGCCTGGTTCGGGTTGGCAGCAAATTTCACTGTGATTGGCTCAGAGGCCCCCGGTGGTTTTTGGCCGTTCAGGTTTTTGACAGCTTCCTCCGCCTCTGCCCGCTTGTCAAACCGGATAAAAGCCACCCCACGGGACACACCTAGGTAAGAGAGAGCGGCTGGTGACTGCCTATACAAACAGCATGACTACTTTTCATATATGGCTGCTCTCTGGTTATTACTTTTTTTTTTTGAACACAGAGGCACTATGTGTTACTGCAAAGAATTTTTAAAAGCAAGGAAGTCATTCACCTGTCGTACCTGTACCCTGATCAACAAGTACCCGGGAGTTAATGATGCGTCCATAACGTGAAAACATGTCCTCCACGTCCTTCTGGGTCATGGACTTTGGCAGGCCGCTGATATACAGGTTGGCATCCTTTATTGTATCAGAGCTGGGCCGTGCGTATGAAACCTGGTAACAGGAAGCAACAAACGCATGATTAAAACTCTGATACACATGAACTAAATAAGGTAACAAAAAAAAACTATCAAAAGTACAAGCACTTTAATCTATCGAACTTTTGACATTCTAACAAATTTTTTGGACTTTAGGACATAATATCAGGTGTTTTGAAAGTTGCAATCATCAACTCATTCATATCCATTTATTAAAAACAACACTTTTGGACTCTATTAAAGAAAACTAAATAAAATGATCTGATAAACAAAATGTCACCCAAGTGGTTTTAAGTATTAAATCTTCAGGCTGAGCAAAAATGAGTGAAGTCAGAAGCATAAAAGAACATTACAGCCACAAAAAAATGAAATCAAACTGATCAAAAAGGTACTTTTCTTAGGAATTAAATTCATGAAATACATTGAATCTGACAGAATGTGTCAAATAAAATAAGTAAAATTAAAGTCAAACTCAACAGACATGTCAGATAGGGCAGTAAGTGAGCTGTAAAAGCAGTATCACTTCCTCGGGCTGACATGTACTAGCTAGTTAGCGGACAGCACAGGAGCCACAGGAGAGTTATATGACATGACATCTTTGGTTTGAGAATTGTAGAACACCTTATTGCACGTTACCTTGATAGTTTTGGACTGTAGCCTTAGTCCATTCAGTGTACTGATAGCTCTGTCTGCATCACTAGGGTTAAGATAGTTAACAAATCCGTACCCTAAACTGTGGCCTAGAGAAAAAAAAAGGAAAACAATAAAATAAAACAAAAAAACGTTGTATAGTTCAAAAAAAGCTGCAAACAAATAAATATTTAAAAACAAAAACAAATCTTAACATTGCATGCTAGTCTAAACAAACAAACAAAGAAACTGTCTACAGTTAAACAGGGTTGGACTGGTTGGAATAAATAAAACAAGTCTATGGTGGTGAAAAACTTTGTGCAAAGTACTACCCCAAGTCAAGCAGGAAAATCTATTTGGGATATCTTTCAAAGAAAAGTTACATTATAAAAATCACTGAGAACAGAGAAGCCTGAAAACACTCTTTAGTAGATATCCTGACAGTAAAGATCAGCTAATTCGAAAATGAGTGAGAGGCCAAACTAAGTCATAAGGCTGGACCACCACTGATAGACTCAGAGGTTGCCACAACTTGTAATTTTTTTTTTGGCCAAGTCTGTAACAGGAACTCCTTGCCATTTCAAACTAAATCTTGTGTTTAAGCGTCGATCAGGTCTGTCACAGGTCTTATCGCTTCAGAGCGTAGCATACCTGCGACTTTGTCTCGAATCAGCTTGGCAGACTCCACCTCTCCGATGCTGCTGAAGAGGCTCCGCAGCTCGTCCTGCGTCATGCTCTGAGGCAGGTAGTTCACTATCAGGTTGGTCTTGGCATCCTTCCCCTCGTCCCCTCCCATGTGGTCTTCATAACCGTTTGACATGTCATACACCTCCTGCAAGTCAGCCTGGTGGGCCGAAAAAACACAAAGCAAGGTAAGCACATAAAGTATGCAGAGCTTAAAAAAAAAAAAAAAAAAAAAAAAAAAAAATTTTTTAAAAAAAAAAAAAAAAAAAAAAGAAGAAGCTTTTGTAAAAAAATTAATTTGTTTATTAACACAAAAATATCAAAAAAGCAATTACACCTACACAGGCAATAAGGAAAGGAGCAGATGCTAAAGGAAATCAATTCAAACAAATCACTTTCAAATTAAACTGCCGCCTGCAGCACAAAGTCGAAGCAGATTGAACAATCAGTGTCCCATACACGTCCTATAATTTCTACTCTTCAGGCATCACTGACCTCGCCTAAACCCTGCTACCGCCTACAACCACATTACATCACTGGCTAGGATACAGCAACACAGAAACTAGAGCATACAGTGGGAACATTAAAACAACAGGAGGTGCATGTTTTCTGAAAAAGCACCCATTTGAAAAAAATTGTTAATGTTTTTCCCACATCTAGTCTTTAAAAAAAAAAAAAAGGAAAAAGAAAAAGAAAAAAAAAAGGACCAATCTGTTGGTGGCTAATTCATGAAAAGCAAAAACACAATTGTCAGTCGACTGGAAGAACCAGGGACGGCATTAACTCCTGCATGAAAAAGCCCCTGCTGCAATGGTTCACTCAGAAACTTGAAGCAGTGGAGTTTGGAGGCCAGACTGCCACTAATTGGTGAAACGTACGCAACACTTTATTCATGAAAAATTCATTTCTTGTTATTTATTAACATTAAAAACAAAGTTAGGCTTTGTTGCCAGCTTCCTGACTTGCTTTTAAAAGGGGCTCGAGTAGGAGAGAGTCAGAGTGAGTGTGTAGCAGCTGCGATGAGAGAACAATGTGCATGAACAAGAGAAATTAAACTGTATTTGCTGATAGTTTCATGGGAATTTCTTTCCAAAGCAGAAGTAACCAAACACTCAGCTGAATGTCTACTTTGGGGATAGTCAAGCTGTTGTTTTCAGTCTCTTTCCAACTCTGTATGTCATTCATTATATCCAATCTAACATCAAAGTAATGCCACAGTAACTACAAAAAAGAGTTGTCATTTCCTTGGGTTTAACAATTGTTTTTTTTGACTAATTAAACAGTAATGTGCAAAGGGGACTTTTAGTTCATAGTTTATTTCCTGATTCGACAGTTCCTGGAACTTTTTGAAGGGTTAACAGTGTCTGTGCAATTACTGTTTTCAATACAGCAGAATAGAAGGGGTCTAAAGTTATAGGGCCACATAATGGCAACTATTACACGAGCATGTGACTAGATTTAAGATGCAAATTGCTCTCAATGAAGTGGTTTACACTAAGCCAATGTGATATTTAAACAATGGCATGCAATATAAAGTCTGCACACAGATGGTTTGCGTTTGCAAAGTAGGTAAGTCCCCAGATTACCTCAATCACATGTCAGACTGCAATCTAGTCTGATAACCAGTCTGAAGGGTCTGAGATGAGTTTAGTAAACAATGGAAACTGCAATATAACTTAATAATACATTTTTTAAAAGTTGCTTCCACTCTCTGTTCAGCAGATTGTCATGGTGGACACATTTGCTGGTGGCTGAAATGGGATCAGGCTCGAAATGGGAACCAGTCCAGCGGTCAACCTGACAGAGGTCCATTCATGCAAGAGAAGGGTTGTGATTGTGTATTCTGGTGGGTAAGATACACTGCCTGAGAGGATGAATGAGAGTCCTGTGTTAACCAGTCAACATAGGCAAAGCTGGTGGGAGCTGGCGTGCTTGTTTGTTTGTGATTTCTCTTAATGCCATCTCACTTGTACAGAATATAAAATCATTAGTTCCAGCAAAATAGCTGTACAGCCGTGACATCTTTACACACATTTATAACAAGGCTCTGGCCATTCCAACAAGTCTGTACATTTCTTGCAAACAAATAAAACAGTGCTACCATATAACAGTACATGAGCTTTCAATTCCTTGTCAAGAACCCCATCAAAAACATCTTATCACACTGCTAACACTCAGTTGATATGGTTGCATACTGTAGTATGGTTTGAAATGGGAGCTGGGATCTCATACTCACTTTCAAGTACTTAATGTGTCCTCGACGAACTGCCATGAAGACACTTCACTGCTCCTGAGGCTAGATGGGGATAAGACAAAATCAAACAACTTAGTCAATCAATGTGGCAGCGATCAAATAGCAAATCTTTTGGCTGAAGAACATGACACAAAGACCAAAAAAAGAAACTTGACAAACACCTGATACCTTTTTAATAGGCAAAAACACAACATCACCAGAGAATAACAACATTTTGCATGGTTTTAACCTCTTCGTATGGCAATGGAGAAAAGTTTGATGAAAAGGTTATAATGAGGGCGGATATTCAAGATAACTCAATCGACTCTTCTGGCTTAACAGTGTTTTTTGATTTCTGCTATAAGTGGCACCAAGGTGTGGTGCAGATGAATGACACTACAAAGTGGTGCACATATTGTGGGAACAATCTGATAAACAAAGATGAGAGACTGTCATTAATTACTATTGGCTTCTTTGGTAGTCAGTTTGCATCATTTTGTGGATTGTGGCACGCTTACATTATTTCCTGCATGCTGCTCTGTAAAGTGCTGAAGAATTTATAATGTATAATCTTGCTGCACAAATGACCCGACCTTTTATTTCCTTCCTTCTATACACACACACACACACACACACATTTAATAAATCTGAATACGCTGATTTGTAAGGCTCCTCAAAATTACAAGAAAATTACAAAATAAAACGTCCCAGATGACAACAAAGCAGTACATCTCTACAAGATAACTCTTGATTACTGAAGCATTGGTCAGAAACAAGAAAACAGAAAGTATGAGTATGTCGTGGTGCTTCAATTTAATGGTGCTCCTAAATTCAATTTAATGAGCACCACTACTCCCAGTGGAATCCCAGTCTGGTGTGCCAGTATTTTTGTATAGTATCCAGTGAGAGAGGGGCGTCAAAGTGGAGCTGTCCTCTGCTACTACAAACCCCGTATTAATAGTGCGCCTTTGTTTTTTTATTACCGGCCAACAGCACATCAGTTCAGTTCATGAGTTGCTCTCCATCTAGGAAACGTGCAGAGGCCTGACTAGCATTAGCAGGCTAGCCGCTGCATGCTCACCTCTCTCTGAATAGATAGGTAAACAATATGTACAACCAGGCTGGACAAAAACGGCATAATATTACTATTGTAAACCTTATAGCAAACCAATGAACACAGTCACTCACATTACGAGGATAGCTTACGTGGCGGTCTCTTGTCGGCTAGCTAACGTAAAGCACCGTGGCCCTATTTTAGAGAGCGTCAGATCATTGCGTTTCTGTCCCCGCGCCTAAACCCCAGCGGCCTGCTAACAGGCCACGGAGGCTAATGTTAGCCACAGCTACCTAACCAGTGGCTCCAAGGGCCGCAGGAACGGCACGGCAGTCATCTGACAAACCTAGAAACAACGAGTATACAGCTGAGACGGTTCGAGAAACATTTGTCAGCATTTCAAAACTTACCAGCTTATTGGGGGGGTTTGGTGTTTCTGCTTTCTTCTCCTATTTTTTGTCTTTCTTAGCGACGTTCGATTCCCTCCAAGTCGACCTCACGTAGTGGAGAAACAGAGGAAGGAGCTACGTGCCGAATCCCGCCACGCCCACTCGCGTCCGACCACGCCTCTGCAGAGGAGCCGGTGAGGTCAACAGCCATGGGTAACAGTTTATTAGGAGCACCTAGCTGAAACTAAAGCAGTGTAATACAACAGTCTTGTAATTCAACCACCTTCATGAAGGTAATAATGCTCAATTTGTGATCTATGAGGGACAAGTGTTCAGATCAGGAAGTGATGTGTTTAATCAACAGCTCAGTGAGAGCAAATTAGGTATAGCCTAGTTTTAGTTTAGATTATTGCCCCCCTCAGAAATGTTCCCTGTGACAATTTCAAACAAACACAACAAAACATTAGTGTACACATAGATACAGTGAAAAACAAGTGTTCTGTTTACAATAATAATTCACTAACAATCTGGGTCAACACAAAAATTACCTTACACACCCAAACACAAGTCATCATATCACATTGATTTGTTTAATAGTGGTAAGGGAAGATATGACAGAGCTCCAGGCATGTGTAGGCAAAAAATGATGATGGCAACAATCCATAGTTTTATGTCACATGTTTTGTAGTGTGCTGGAGTAAACCTGCATTAATTAACAGTAGTGAAACAGATTAGAGATCACACAAGTTTGAAAATCAGGAACAGTAATAATAATATAATATTACAGTATCTGTGCACAGTACAGTGCTGTCCCATCTGTCTTTAGTTTTTGTCCAGTATGTGATATCTGGTAAATGGCTGGTCCCTCATCAGCTGTGCCACCGTCAGCAGCACAACAAACTACAGGAAAAGAGTAAAGAAAAGAGAAGAGGATTCTGGTAAATTGACTAAATTAAACAATAATTCACTTCTGAAACTTAACAGAGAAACATTTATCATTGGAATAATTAAACACCACAATACATCAGCAATACAGATAATTAAAAGGCAATTTATTTTACCAGTTGCTCAAATTACTCTGTGTAATGTGAAAGAAGTTGTAGTGGAGAACCTACAGAGAATTATCAGTTCGTCTCAGCTCTATTAGAGTTTTTTAGTGTCTTTAAGATCATTGTTTTGGTTTAATAGCCCATCTTGTTACTGTTTTGGTTCATTCTCACTGCTCTCCTTGGCCTTGTTTCAAGCAGCAAGCAGCTGTTTTCAGTGAAAGTACTGTGCACTGCAAGAGCAATAATGATTTGTATAAAGGAACATTAGTTGATTTTATCATTTATCATAATTGGCAACAATTATGATAAATGTTTTAGATGTTTTTAAGCAAAAATGCCAAAAAAAAACAAAAACTGGTTGTACCTATTTTAAGTAAATATTATTTTTACACTACTATATACAGTACTTTATACTACTACTATAATACTGTTTTAAGTATTTAAATTTACTGGTTTTCTTAGTCCTCTATGAGATTTTTTCTGGGGGTCTGTGGCTGTTTGACAAAATAATTAATTTTCATATGTGATGATGAGCTTTAGAAATTTGTGATGGGTGTTTTCATTGTTTTCTGACATTTTATTAACCGAAGGATTCAACGGGAAAATAATCCTCAGGTTAATCAGATTAATTAAAATAATCATTTTTTTCAGCCACAGAATGTTAACTGGCTAACAGGAAATGGCCAACAGACACAGTTAGTGACAAGCTGGTGAATATAGTGGAGCATTTAGCAGCTAAGGATCATCAAGAATTGTTGGAGACTCAAACAGAGCTAAAAGGAGAGTGAATATTGGACTTCACTGGGTAAGAACCATGACAAATCACTGCTAATGTTGCTCTGTATCTGCTGGATGTGCAATTAGGCCACTGTGTTCCACAACAACTTTATGATGATAATGTTGTGCATATAAATTCGTCAAAATAAAAAAAAAAAATCAAATATTGCAGTTTTAAGGAACTGCCAATCTAATAATAGCAAAAGTTCCTCTGTGTTTCATTTTTCAGTTAGTTTGCATATCAAGTCTATACAGAATAAAAATGATGATGTTACGCACCTCCACCAGAAAAACCAGTGGGGAGCCCCAGATGATGAAACTCAGAACAAACTGTAAAGTCATCTCCAGCTTCACCTGGCAGCCCTGAAAGAGTGAGGCATTAGAAACAGAGAGGACCAATCCAACATGCATGCTGGGGTGCTTTTGTGTTCATGTGTAGTGGATTTATCTGGATGTCTACCTGTGGGTAAAGTTGCCATGGCTGGTCCACAGTTCCATTGCAGGAGGGGAAAGTAGAGTTGCAGCAGCTGTGAGGAACACTGAGTCCTCCAGTTTGGTTAAACCAGGAGGTTTCAAGCCAGTCCCTGTAGTCATGGACACCACAGCACTGCAACTAACATGGATCAAAACACAAAATGCCCAGTCACTATCGATCAATATGAATCTTAATACAAAATCTTAATATAAAAATATCTGTGATGGCAGCATGAGTTCATGCATGGATGGCTTGAGGCCTGAGGTTTGGGTTTTGTGGAGATGAGATGGAGCAAGTTAGGGCCAACTATCACTGCTAAGTGTGACTTGAGACAAACCTACCGATCTCTACTGTGAGCCTAAATATCTCTGGTGGTCACTTCAATTCTTTAAGTGAAATTTTACAGGTAAAACCCAGTGGTCCCCTGACCCCTCAGTCCCTTGCCAGAGACAAATACTGAATAGTTTTTACTCCACTTCATGAATCTAATGACTTAAAAGATTCAACAGAATGTAAATTAATTAATAGTGGTGTCACCATGGAAATGCTGTTTTTAATGCATCACTGTTGATCCTGTTACTGTATATAATACAGAATGTAGAAAAGATGACAGAGTGACCACAGTCTGTTGTACAGGCTCATGATCTACAGTTACTACATGGACAAACATAGGAGTACATATAAAAGCCCTGTTTGTGTCCAGCGTCCTCTGCTGGTTGCAAAGAGAAGTGAAAAAGCTTACAGCACCTGGTATTCCCAGGCGGTCTCCCATCCAAGTACTAACCAGGCCCGACCCTGCTTAGCTTCCGAGATCGGACGAGATCGGGCGTGTTCAGAGTGGTATGGCCGTAAGCAACAGTAACAGAGACAGACAGGCCTTTTATAGGTCACTTAACACCATGTACTCATATTTGTACATGTAGTAACTGTAGTTAGTGAGCTTTAATAACCAACTCCGCTCAACCTGTCATCTTGACAAAGCATATTCTGTATTATCACTAACCCTGATGCATTAAAAACCGCACTTTAATAGTTAAACTATTATTTATTAGGTTACATTATATCCTGTTGGTTCGTTTAATCCACACGGTATCAGTTTAATGTAGTTGAGTAAAAACTACAGTATTAGTCTCTGACATGAAGTGGAGTAGGAGTTTAACGTAGCAGAAAATTGAAATACAATTACCTCAATAAGTAGGCCTACTTAGGTTTGAACTTGAGTAAATGTATTTGGTTACATGACAGGAGTGTAATAGAGAGACTTTATCGTTCATGCTGATGTGCAGTGATTGTATCACTGTAATCAGAGCTTGTTGCACAGAACTTTAAAAAATATGCTCATGTTTCTGTGGACAGAAATATAAAAAGATGTTGCTGATGGTGATGATTAAATAGCGTGTTTGTGTCTAACATTATTGCTTACGGCCATACCACTCTGAACACGCCCGATCTCGTCCGATCTCGGAAGCTAAGCAGGGTCGGGCCTGGTTAGTACTTGGATGGGAGACCGCCTGGGAATACCAGGTGCTGTAAGCTTTTTCCCTTCTCTTTGCAACCAGCAGAGGACGCTGCTGCTGCTGCTGCTGCTGCTGCTGCTGCTTCAGAGGAGACAACATTTCAAGAAGCCTATCCACAATAATTATGAAATCACTTCTGACTGTGATGCTTTTCAATTTTTGTTAAAAAACTGAATATGATAGAAAAATTAAGAAATCCTTGTGCCTAATTTAAGATGCTTTTCCACTTTGCTATATCCAGCAGAAGCTCAGGAGGTTTCTGGATCACAGAGATGCTCTGTTGAGCTGAAAAATGTTACTGAGCTGAACTCACATTATCAGCTGTGATAAAGTTTCCAGACTATCAGCAGATGTACCCACAGCCTGCAGCTTGCTCCTGCTTTCCTTTGTGTACAAAAGGAGTCACTGTTAAAATCCAAGGTGCTGCTCCTGGGACCTCCAGAGCTGTCTGAGGGTCTGCCGTCATTCATGTTGATGGTCACGATTCACATTCATTATGGGAGTTATATATCCAAACATCACTGTTTGGAAGTTTTGCATCATTTCCTGCTTCTTTTGAATTGTTTGCAGACATTTGTAAAACAGCAGCGTGTTGAAGAACCTTGGTAATACAGCCAATATAGCCAACACTATTCAGCATATCTTCTACTGTGGAGATGAAGCTTGAACATAAAAATCAACAATCAGATTTATCTGGTGTCTCTGTAGTTAGTTAGTAACTACAATGCTGCTCACACACTGCTTACACTGAAGCAGCAGCAGCAGCAGCAGCAGCGTCAGCAGCGTCCTCTGCTGGTTGCAAAGAGAAGTGAAAAAGCTTACAGCACCTGGTATTCCCAGGCGGTCTCCCATCCAAGTACTAACCAGGCCCGACCCTGCTTAGCTTCCGAGATCGGACGAGATCGGGCGTGTTCAGGGTGGTATGGCCGTAAGCAACAACACTTGTGACAAACACACTATATAAACTTCACCATCATCATTTCACCATGAGTGTATTCTTAAAAGTTCTGTGCAAGAAGAGCTCTAAATGAAGTGATACAATTAATGCACATCAACATGAATGATTTAGACTTTGCATGACTCTACTGGAATGTAACCACTAGTTCTTATTGAGGTACTTGTATTTCATTCAAGTATTTCAATTTACTACTAATGCAATGTAAAAAAAAACATTTCCAAATGGCTACCAAGATAAATTGGGGGATTTCCTCTTATAGATATCGTTACAGGAAGTGTGCTCCAACTCTGGAGCACACTTCCTGCACACTCTTAGCTACAGTTGTTGCTGCTTGTTTTGATATCCCTACTTACAGTCTTTTATATGCTGTTGCTGTGGATAATGACAATGTGTTGTAGCCTTTTTGAAATGCTATACTTTTTTTGAACATTTTGCACAAACATTGCTTCCCGTATTTAGAGGCCTATATAACTCAGTTCACGAGTGATGGCTGAGCACACTACCTGCTCTTGTGCAGCATCCACAGCTCGAGAGTTGGGGTCCTGGCTGCTGCCTGTGTAATTCTGAAACACTCCACTGAGGGAAGTTGTCTCTGTATCCAGCTAAAACAAAAAGGCAGCAGACACAAATAACATAAACAAGCAATAATCTGTTAACTAATAATCTGATAACCCCAGTCCAGTGCATGTGAACTCTGGTGTAACTTGTATACCTTTATGGAGTGGTAGTAAGCCAATGCTGAAGCCGAACTTTCCAGACAAAAGACCACAACTAGTAGATAAACAAACTGGAGAAGAGCACACTTTACAATGTACAGGCCAAACACTGTCGCACATACAGATACATCATTCATACACACTCTGAGAACCTTACCAGTCCCTGCAGAAAGGTGGAATCTCTGAGGCTCAGCCACGAGCCGAGGAACCCGCTGGCCAATAGGAAAGCAGCGCTGGTGAGAGCGAGGATAGCTGGCATGGTGATGTAGGTGTGAGAAAAAAATAAGCTGCTGTGCCTGTATTTCATCAGCAGATAGACTCCGCTCAAGCCCACCACCAACCCCACCACCTGGTGAAGTTAAAAGAAAGACTGCTGTCGTATTTTTTTCTTGATTCATTATCACATAACAGACAGTTTGCATTGTATCACTGAGACCAAGAACCTATTAAAACAGAGTATAGCTACACCTGTAAGCTGCCAAAGAGCATACTCACCAGACCTATTTTCATATTCCTCCATTACTTTAGAAAAAATAATTTCTTTGTGTAATTCATATAAAACTGAAGTGTGGAAACAAACACTTGTGGATTTATGGAGGCAAAGGAAGCAGTGACAAAATGAGCGTGACCCCATGTGAAATGGTAACTTGATGCTGCTATGCTCCAGTTTCTGTACTGATTTTGATTTCACACAAAATAAAATGTGTTAATTATTGAGGTGCTGATTGGCTGATTTTGTTTTTTTTGAACGGAGCCAGGCAAGCTGCTTCCATCTGTTCCCAGCCTTTATGCTTAGCTAAAATAAGCTTAGCTAAACTATGTGCTCTAACTTCATCTTAGATATGAGTGTGTTATCAATCTTCTCATCTAACTCTTGGCAAGAAAGTGAGCAGATTTCCCAAAGTGTTGAAGTATTTCTTTAAAATAAACTTAATTTATTCAGGAAGGTTTGACTGAGAACGAGCTGCCTGTTGCAACTGAGCAGTTAGAGATGGGGGTTGAGGGCCTTGCTCAGGGGCACCACAGTGGTGGTTATTAGGGAGGAGTGAGGGCAACTGAACCAACAACCTCCTGATCACACAATACTTAGGCCAAACCTGCATCACACATTGTTCATTCTATGCAATTATTATTGTTTATTCTGTGCAATTGGCTCATGGTATCTCTTGAAAATAATGCCTTCAGACTAATTCAAGTTGTAGAGGGATTATTTGCAGGTTAAAATAGAAGCCTGTGCTTTAATATTTAAAGTGTCATGGTTGTGCATGTCATTGTAAAGCATAACCACTATAATA